CAGGGACTGACTCTGACTTTGCAGAGGTGTTTTAATTCAGCCAGAAGTTCGACTTTCTTAAGGCAACATGTGTTTCACAGAGGGCCCTTTGTGCGGAGTTACTGGGGACTCATTCAAAAATAACAGGAGCCCCAGTCTACAGAATCGTTTTGTCACTCTAGACACAGCTCTAGTCTTCCACCTCCTACCAGTAGGCCCATTTATAGCGAAATGAATAAGAAATTTAATCCCTCGTATTTTTTTTTTGCTTTGGTTGTGGTTTGCTCTGTGTATGCTTTTTTAAAGGCAGTGTTTAATAATGTTTATATTGCCTTTAACCTTTGACTAACTTTGCAGTTTGTAGGCTGCTCCTCGCTCCTTTGAGACTGCTCACTTCCTGTTCCTAGAAGGCATTTCACTCCCTTACCAATCATCTTGATCACTTCTGCTGGGGAAGAAAGGAGTCCATGGAGTGGTAGGCAGTAGTGGTTGGAATAATAGTATTTATCCAAGGCCATGCGCCAGGCATGGTGGTATGTGATTTACTTCTGTTATTAAATCTTTAAAACCACTTTATGAAGCAAAAACTGTTATCGTGTATCCTCAAATGTAAGGGAAAGTGTTTTCCACAAAATTAGTCCTCAGAAAAGAGGGTACCCCCTTATGTTTGAGTCCTAACAAAGACTGCCCTGTGGTGGGGATTAGTCTAAAAACCACAAAGTAGTTTAAGTAATTGTCTCAGAATTATGAAAATGGGTGCTTATTGTTCGGGAATGCTTAATATTCAAGTATTGGTTGGTATCATTTCCATTTTAATAGACGAGGAGACAGAGACTTGGCAAAGTTAAATAACTTGCCCAGGGTCGCACAGCTAATAAGTAGTATATCTGGGACTCAAACACAGGCATATATCTTACTCCCAAATCCTCATTGTCAGTCCTCCTCTGATTTTTTCTGACACCTTTGAAGAGGTTTCAGTCTAGGGAATCACTGATGTTTTTCTTCCTTCTTGTTGAGGTTTCATTCTAAGAGCAGAGAACACCAGAAGGTGAGGATATATCCAGGCTGGAGCCGTGCTTGTGTGGATAGCCATGCATTTAGGAAGCTCTAGTTCGCCCTCTAGGTGGCATGGGGTTCCCTCTCTTTCATCCTTTCCAGATGATCACCCTGCCTCCCTTCGCCATTGGCGGGAAGTTTATTGCTTCCCGAATCAGTCCCTTTCTGCGGTGCTGGTTGTGGGAATTCTTCGTCATGGGGAGCTGAAATGGCCTTTCCTGGAATTTTCAGTCTAACAGAAAGGAGATCAAAATACACGCGGGTTTGTCTCATCTGATCTCTGATCTCTGATCTCTTCACCTACCCTCCCTCTTCCCTTCCCAATAAATGTTTTATTTTGGAAGAGTTTTAAATTTACAGAGAAGATACCAAGATAGTACAGAGATTTTCTATATATCTCTCAGCTTATTGTTAACATCTTACTTTACTGTTGTACATTTGCCAGAACTAAGAAACCAATATTGGTCCATTATGATTAGATATAAACTCCAGACTTTATTCTGATTTCACTAGTTTTTCCCCAATACCCCAATATCCTTTCTCTGTTCCACAATCCCAAATTACCTTTAGTCATTATGCTCCCTTAGTCTCATCTAGTGTATGATAGTTTTTCAGCCTTTCCTTGTTTTTTGTGACCTTGGCAGTTTTGAAGACTATTGGCCAGGAATTATGTAGAATGTCTCTCAATTAGGATTGGTCCAGTGTTTCATTGTGTGGTGTTGGATTTGGGAGAAGAAAACCACAGAAGTGAGTGTCATTCTCATCATATCATATTGGGAACATGATAGCAATATGCTTTATCACTGGTAATGTTAACCTTCATCTTCTGACTAAGGTAAAGTTACTCTTCCCTTCCCTTTTTATATAAAATTTTTTGAGAAGCAGCCCACTCTCATGAGATAAGGGTATGAAGTTCTAACTCCAGGTGGTGGGACTATATAAATTATTGGGAACTTTCTTAAGGAAGATTTGTCTCTTTTCCTACTTTTATTAATTAATGCAATCACTTATTTATATCAGTATGGACTGATGCGCATTTATTTTATCCTTTGGATTATAACCCATTACAACTTAATTTTTTTTGCTCAAATAGTTCCAACTCTGGCTGCTGGGAGGTCTTCCAATTGTCTCTTACGTCCTTTTGACTTGCTGCCATTCTTTTGTTTTTTTAAGGATTTCCTTACTTTCTGGCACTACAAGATCTCCCAGGTTCCTCTTGTATTTTCCCTGACTCATCCCTAGAATTAGCCATTTTTCCAAGGATCCCTGTTTCCTGTTATTTGAGAAAGATAGTAGAAACTTAGGTCTGACCACTGGATGTGCTCATTGCTCCTGGAGTGTCACTACTTCTAGATCCTCTTAGTGGACAGAGTTAGGAAATATGTGTATGTCAGTCCATGCTGCGTACATGTCTACAATATTTCTGTATCTACATTTGTTTTCACAGTAAAGCTTTTCTTTTTTGAGCACTGTGTAGCCAACAGTGAGAATGTGATTTGCTGCCTTCTACCACCAACTGCAATGTTTTAAAAAAGGAGGAGTGGAGACAGTGAAAATGGAGAACTTGACCAAAATAAAATTGAAGAGCTCAGCCATCTTCTAGTTGTATCATGTCATTTTAGACATACAATGATTCTAAGAGATTTACTGAGATTCTAAGAGGTTAAGGAACTAGATACTGGAACAGTCAGGATTGGAATCCGGCTTCTTGAAATGGAGCCTCTTTATTTCTGCTGTATTCCGTGCCCCTTTGAGACTGGTCAGTATTCTTGGCTTTGTAGTCAACTCAATAATTAACTTTCTGGAATGCACTAAGCAGAGGAGAATGAAATTTTAGAAACTGGTGTTCACAGTTATTATCTAGCCAACAGAAATCTGCTAGAGTGTCTCTAATAAGGGATTTTGCTCTAGCAACGTATCTTAAATTGACAGCTTGAAAATAATGGTCTGATGGCCAGATGTTAGTGAGTGAGTCTTTTCGAATGATTATGATGATTATCCTATCATGTTTTACTTTTTATAACTATCTTTAAAAAAATCCTTTTGCTCCGGGGAGAGAATCATAAGCCTTCTGTAGGATAGATACTCAATGTATACAGTTGCTTTTTAGAAGTGGGATATAAAGCAATGAAGGAATCTGTTTCATGTCATCCAAGGAGTTGGTGATGAAGTAAAAAGCAGAAAAAAAAAAAACCCCACAAAAACACCCCCCTCCAAACTGCAACCTCGATGACCCCTTTTTTAACAGGCCAACCACACAGCTCCTTCCTTTTAAATTGTTTCTGGCAGCTTGTAAAGCAGAGAAAGAACACTTGCAGGTCCTCCCAAGAGAATCCTGAGACTGTGGGACAGGGTGCCTTCAAAACTTTTGGCTGGTTTCCTTCAAGAAGTGGGTGTGTTTATACTTGGGGAACCATGTCTTGCCGCCATGTAACAGTAAAACCTCCGTTCTATTCTTTCCATTTGTACCTTATTCATTCCAAAGATTTACCATTTTATTTTGTGCAGTACATTGTGAACATCCAAGATTTTCAGTGGAAATAAATGGTAACAGCTGTTTTGTCAGGTACTAAATAATATAATTGGGAATCTTAACCTTGCAATGATATATCAAGGTATAGAAATGATGACTAAAAAAGCTCATTTTAGGTACTCATCCCCGTACAGAATCACATTCAGCTGATTGCTCCCAACTTTATTCAAAGAATTTCTATAGGTCTTTCTTTATCCCAGTACTCCCTTATTTACATGGCTTTTCCTCTTTAAGATAGTGTCTGTTCACCGACATAAACACACACCCTAAAGTCCCATTTTCCTTTCCTGCTTTATTTTTCTCTCTTTTATCACTATCTAATATATTACATATTTTACTTCTGTACCCTTTTAATTGTCAGTTTCTCTTAAGCTCTATCAGAGCAGGGGATATATTTTGTTCATTACCATATTTCCAGACCTAGAATAGTACCTGGAACATAGTAGATGCTCAATGAATACTTCCAAGTGAACAATGTGAAAGTTGGACGGTGTGATCATTTGGCTTAGGTTTTAATATAAATATAAATCGTTGGGTTTTATTTTAAAGAGTTACTTCATATTATAGGTGAAGTTAAATCACATTATTTAAAATAGGGGCTTATCTATTCACCAATAATCTCAGAATTTGTGCATAATGTTTTGGAAGTTATGCAGTTACTCCAGTAATGCAGTGCTATTTTCACATGTAAGGAATTTTGAAATTCTATGCTAAATATCACTCAAGCAATTGGTGGAAGAGCTAAAAGAAAAAAAAAAATTTTTTTTTGTTTTTCAAAGTTTTAAGGTGAATTGCCTTCATACTGGCCCGAAGATACCTTGAACCCCAAGTGACATTACTCGGTTTGATCCCTTATTCTATTCACTAAATTTAGTAGAAAATGACTCTTCATTATTTTTTTTTTTTAAAAAGAACCTATTCAGACTGATATTTGCTAATGTAGAGAATACTAAAAAGAATATGCTGCAAAACCTGAGGCCATTCCTCTCAAGGAGTGTCAGCATTCATTTGGATATATAGATGCTAGCATATTTTATTTTTAATCATTTACTTTACAAATATATTATTTTTATTTTAAATTTCTAGTGTCTGAAGTACTTGTATTTTTATTTTTAAAACTAGCAGACTCTGTTTAACCAAATGTAAGATAATACAAAAGGGTATACAACTTGACTAGCTATTTTATAAACTAGATCTTTTATAGTGTTTTTAGTTGTATAAACAAGATCTATTGTAAACTAGATCTTTCAAAACAACAACTCTAAAGCCAAATTTCTTGCATTATTCTCTCCAGGACAAGAAACAAATAAGAAGCAACCTAGACAGTGAACATCACAGATTTGTTTTCATGCTACCTTCGGACTGACGTAGTGCATGAATTGCATCTTTGTACAAGATTGACTTATTGTCACATTACCACCTTTTATTTCAGAGCATCGGGGAGTCGACAGTGTCTGTTGTGTTAAATCAGCTGCTGCCCCTGATTAAGCCTTCAAATCAGAGGACCAGCGATGACTACAGCCCTGAAGAACTGTTGATCCTCCTAATATATATTTATTCTGTCACTGGAGAATTTGCAGAGGACAAAAACCTGGCAGAAACTGAAGAAAAAGTGAAGAAAGCATTGGCTCAGGTCTTTTGTGAGGAGTCTAAGCTATCACCTTTGCTGCAAAAAATCACAGGTGAGTAAAGATGTAGCACATAAATATCACTGATACAGAAAACAGGTTTAAAAATAAAAGCCCTTTCAGAAAGAGGACATAACCATCTTCATTGGAATGGTTTGGGATTTCATAAGGTCTGATGAATGCTAGCAAGCCTTTAGGGGTTTTCATTGCAGATTTTTTTTTCCCAGTCATGGGAGTGAAGTGGCCTTCTAGTTGCCTGTCAGAATTCATATTCCTTAGAGCCCAGAGTCTTGTTAAAATAGCAAAATATTCATAGGACATAATATCTTAAAGGAAAATAAAATATAGTGCATCTTATTCAAAGGGTTTCTGTTGACATATTCTCTTTGGTATTGTCATTTCAAACTTTAAAAAAAAAAAAGGCTTCTTAAGATATTGCACAATGATATTGGATTAAAAGGTTGCCATTTTCCAGAGTAATTTCCTGTTTTGACATGTCATATTTCATTTGAATCTGAATTAGTTGGTAGTATCCAAAATAATACTCAAATATCCCGTAAAGTGGGCTATTTAATTTGGGAGAAATATATAATTAAATATCATAAAATCTAACTTTTCACCTCTAGTTGGAACTGTGATATAATTCATAGAGACATTCATATGTTTTAGTCTGTATCAAATTCAATATTTTTATTTATATTCTCTGTAAAGCTTATTTCTATTAGTCTGGACTGAGCTGCAGTCTGTTTGAAAGGGAGATATTATTAAAACACACATAAAACTTAAATACTTTAAAAACATACCAAGTGTCAATTCACTAATGAATGTATGTGTGTGGTGGTGGCGGGGTGGACCTCTCCATTCAGGAAGGCTCAAGTGAGGTGGATTATAAGTTTCCAACCTCTCCTGTCCCCTGTTGTGCCTCCCTGGCAGGCAGGGGTGGGGAGTACCCAGATTGCTCCGAGGCAGGCTGTGTAAGCTGTCGACGTAAGCATCCCGTGCATGTGTGTTTTCCTTTGTGCCCACTGCTGACCTTTCTTGTGTTTAGTTATGGAAAATGAAACCCTGATGAGATGGAAACCAAATGAAGTTTCCACAGAAATGAGACATTTTCTTGCTTAGTGTAGAACCTGTCTGCCAACTTAAAATCTGCGTAAGGAAAACTGGTGGAATTTGTTCCCATCTCATTAGGTACAGTGCTATATGTGATTACATGTGTTTGGCTGTAAATGAATATTGAAGCTTTACTATGGTTTATGCAGTGCTAAGAACAGTGATTGGATTCAAAGTAAAATTGAATTCTAGGAAAATTTAATCAGAAGTTGTTCTTGAAATGCGAAATTTCAGAAACAGACAACAAAGATGGTGTGTTTCAGCTGAGGTTATTTGGATAACTTTTCTGTAACGTTAGTATGTGACTATATTATTTTGGGAATTGAAGTCATGCTCTAAGAGTATTCATGTAATATTTGCTCAAGGTGTTTATTGATCGAGCATTTCATTCTTTATTAGTTTCCCTATTTAGGATTGCTCAGGATATTGCATTTTCTTGCTTTTAACTGTGATTTCACATTTTAAAACACTTCTGTACATTCATGTTTATAACAGGAAAATTTGTTAAGTTTAGCAGTTGAACATTAAAAAATAAGAATTTGTGGAAATTTCACTGCATTTAAAAATTTTAAAGACATCTTATTTTGTAATACTGGGTATATATTTCAGCTTAATCAAGGTGGATAAGAAATGCTACTTAAATGTGACTTAAGTGAACTTACCAGTGTAACACATGTGCATTGATAAACCTCTGTTTATACCCAAAGGACTTTATTTCTGAAGATAGACTTTGACCTGGCTGGTTAGACATACCCTTATTAAGTATATTGAAAGGTCAGTAATCCTGAGAAGTAGGGTTTATGTTTACAGTTAGCTGCTGAGGAGAATGTTTAACCTACATCCCATGATAAAAAGTAATGGGATAGTGTTAGGAGTGTCATGATTCAGTCTTGTAGAATAGGATGGGATACCCCAGTATGTACTGGAAGAATCAAATTGCTTTCAAAGGTGCTTGTCGTGGAACTAGGTTAGCCTGGCTTTTTACTGTGAACTTGTCCACAGTGTTGTGCTTATGTTATTCCAGTTTATGGTCTTGACTTACTTGTTATTGGGTGGCAGAATTTATTTTATGCCTTGTGCACATTATGTGGTTGATGAAATTTATTTAACAAGTATTACTGAAAATAAGCAATTAATCAATAAAAAATTCTTTTTTTTTATAAAATGCTATAGTTTTACTAACCTTAACTGTCAATAGGATCAAGAAAGCAACACTTTTTGTGCACTAAAAACTTAAGCATGGTATCATCACCCAGCTGCTAAGTGATAGAGCTAGAATTTGAACTCTGATGTTCCAGATCTACAGCCGATGTTTTTAAACACAAAATTCTAAACCTGCCACAAACTCACTTCCATTACCACTGCATTTATTATATATTATATTCTCTAACTTGTGCTTGCTTATACTTACATTTTTTTATCCTCACCTAAGGACATGTTTGTTGATTTTAGAGAGAGGGGAAAGGAGGGAGAGAAGGAGAGAAACAATGATGTGAGAGAGAAACATTGATCAGTTGCCTGTCATATGTGCCCTACTGGGGACTGAACCCCCAACCTAAGCACATGCCAGCTACGAATCGAACCTACGACCTTTTGACTTAACGGGACTAAGCTCCAACCAGTCAAATCACACCAGCAAGGGCTGCACTTACTGTTTAAAGCCATGCACACCCAACCATTCCACCATGTTCTTAGTATCTGAACAGTGAATTAATATTTGGTTAATGTTTTAGATATTGCTTGTGCTTTTTAATCTTTTTATAATAGCCAGTTATAGATGTTTCCTTATACCTTCCTATTTTTGTGCATGTATCCTCTTTGTTTCTGCATTTCTATAAATAAAATATAATTTCAGTCACTGAAATCTATTGATTGTCAAGTTTTTCTAAAACATGACTAGCAAATATAAATTTTATTTCAATAATATCTCTTGACAATAATTGTCTTGTGTGTAAAATTCATATTTCCTTTTATATGTTAAATACGTAATTTAATTTTGACAACTTCTTTTATTTCTTCTTATTCTTCCCTTTTATGGAACAGATGAAAAACTGTAATTGGCAAAACAAAACAAAACTTCAGCATGGTCAATGGCAGCATACTATCTTGTTTTTAATAGATACTTTTTGGGGAGATTGGTAAGCAAAAGCTGTCTTTTCTGCTCATACAGAATAACAAGGGGTGGCTCTCTGTGTGTCAGCAATGGGAGCTGAAGAAAGAAAATGGGTACGGCCTAAATATGTCATTGAATGTTGTTCTTTCTCAGTCTTGCTAAGTTCAAAGAGAGTATCAGTTTCCATACACGTTAGTATTTGCATGGCAGTCACAAGAGAAAACAAAGGAAAATCATCTGAAGTCTTTTCAGAGAATGAAATCAAAACGGTAATTTTAAAGATCTGTACAGACTTGGAATGTCATCCTGCAGGAAAAGCACAGGGCTCAGAGACAGAAACCCTTGTTTCAAAAGCCCAGGCTCTGCCATTTCCCAGCAGTGCATACTAGTGGGCGAATCACCCATCTTAGATAATAAACACAGGTGCCCTGCTGACCGCTCATGATTTTTTCAAGAATAAAGCAATGTTATATCTGTGAGCTAATTTTTGGTCCATGCAGAATTATAAATAGGTCATTTTTTCCCCCACTGATGTTACTATTTTGATAGCATCTAGCTGTCATGGAGGGTAGTGCTTCCCACCCTCATTCACATTGCAATGCACGTAGACAGTGAGAATGTTTACATAGTATACCGAGGTGAATGGCCAGGGCTCCTGTGGTGAGAGGCAGCCGCCCCTGGGGGCTCTGGCCACTCTAGGCCCCACCCAGCTGACCTGTGAACTGAAGTGAAGCAGCAGCTTGGCACACCTGGAACCTATTAGGGACAAATGAGTGTGCTAAGATAGGTTGGTCAGAAGGCTGTGGAATCAGAAAACAAAGAAAAACAAAACTCACATATTGTTTTTAATACCCAAAACTATTTTGGAAAAATTTCTTTTTGGTAAACAATTTTTATATTACTCATTGGTTTATTTCTTGAATTTTTATACTAACTTTATTTTTTATTTAATCTTTATCTTATTTTTTTCATTACCATTTAGTCCCCTTATACCCCGCTCCCCCCAGCAATCACCACACTGTTGTCCATGTCCATGAGTCCTTTCTCCCTTTTGCTCAATCCCTCCACCCGCCCAATCTCCCCCACAACTAGCTGTCTTCCTGCTCTCCATCTCTGAGTCTGTCCCTATTTTCCTTGTTGTTCAGTTTGTTCATTAGATTCCACATACATATGAGTGAAATCATATAGTATTTGTCTTTCTCTGACTGGCTTTTCCACTTAGCATAATGTTCTCTAGGTCCATCCATACTGGATGGATGAGTAAAATTTTCTTTTTTACAGCTAAGTAGTATTCTATTGTGTAAATATCCCATAGTTGTTTTATCCACTCATCTATTGGTGGACACTTGGGCTGCTTCCCTATTTTGGCGATTCTAAAATAACACTGCAATGAACAGAGGGGTGTTTATGCTCTTCCGAATTAGTGTTTTGGGTTCCTTCGGATATACTCCCAGAAGTGGGATCACTGGGTCAAAAGGCAAATCCATTTTTAATTTTTTGAGGTATCTCCACACTGCTTTCCACAGTGGCTGCACCAGTCTGCATTCCCACAGACAGTGTACTAGGGTTCCCCTTTCTTCACATCCTCACCAACACTTGTTGTTTCTTGATTTATTAACGACAGCCATTCTGACAGGTGTGACCTGATATCTCATTGTGGTTTTAATTTGCATTTCTCTGATGATTAGTGACATTGAGCATCATTTCATATGTCTATTTACCATCCTTTGGAAGACTGTCTATTCAGGCTGTTTGCCCATTTTTAAATTGAATTTTTTTTTTTGGTGTTGAGCATTTTAAGTATAAATTTGGGATATTAACCCCTTGT